AAAAAACAACACAAAGAACTCTATAAACTTGTACTGCCAAGTCTTGAACAACGGATGAACATTGTAAAACAAGTCTTTGTAAGGGAAATCTTTATGAGAGGATGACTTTCTTGCAAAGGTGTAAAGGAGATGCCTTTTCACAAAGTGTGAAATGGATTGCCTTCATGTGTCATGGTCACAGGTCTTCTGCCCAGTGTTTTGTGTTTTTCATTTAGTTTTGTTCCTCTTAGATATCTATGGATAATTGCTTATATTAGCATCATTATTAAAGTTCATGATACCAGGACAGTGAGATCATCTAATTAAATAATTAAATAAATACCAGAAAATGAAAAATACCGTTTTAGATAAATAAATAATAAAAATACAGTTTGTAAAAAAGCTACATCCTGAATGAGACAGACTTACCTACTGGTTATTTGTAATGGGTTTAATGTTCAATGCAAAACAGCAAATAACAGAAAAATGATGCAGAAAGGTTTGTTATGACCCAGGTCATGATCATGTGTGTTGTTTGTGCATTTGTAAGTTCCAGGTGAAGGCGGATCATTGGCGGAGGATGGACTGAGGCTGGTTTTAAAGTGGGACCTGTCAAGACTGGCGGCCTGTCTACTTCCTGCTTCCAAACAAGCTGTGCATTTAGCCCTGTGTCTTGTGTAGCGTGCTATGTGTGTGACCAAGTGTTTGTAATGAGAAGAGCTTGGTTGTCTTGTATATATTGGAAATAGTGTAAATAGACCTTTTCATGTTGATCTGGTAGTTGTAGGGGTGGGAAGCCTTTTTCTTTTAAGACCTTTATCTCCTGTTTATGTTAGGGAGACGGGTAAGAGGCCTGCATTTTCTTTCGGGTTTCTCGTTATAGGTAAGTCAGTTCTGTTTCATTTCAAGAGTATATTTTTGTTGCTTTGGCCATGCCCACGCTGATGCTTTCAATCTTTCGAAATTAAAAAACATATCCGGTTGTTGTGAAACTTCAATACTGTGGCAGGATTGGGAGCAGGGAGCGGGGGCATTATAATTTCTTCTTTCTTTTTTTTCCCATAGGCCGGGGTGTAACAGGTTTAGTTTCATAACTGGACTCCATTTAGTGTTCCTTAGTAAAGTAAATAAAGTTATGTTTAGGCAAAAATCGAACAGTGTTCAGCTTTCTCTGAATGGTCAAATGATATGAACTGAAACATTGCTAGTAAACAGTACTGTATTTTATTTTACAGAGAGCTGATACTTTACTTGAGGTTATAAATGAGTTACTAAGATCTGCAGCTGCATCCTGGACATGAAGAAACATCAAGTCTACAACAATCATTTTAGACCAGTGACACTTGCCCTCTCTCTTACTGAGGAAGAATTATTAAATGATGCTCTCTAGTGTACAAATATTACATAACGCGTAATTCAGAACATACTTATGTTTTAACAATGGGAACAATACGTTTAAAAATTGTGTGCTTGTGAGTAATTTTTTTCTTCTTTGTTCCCCTCTCTAAAATTTCCCAGTTCATTTCAGTTACATTAAATGTCTGCTGACAGTGACACAATTTCTTATTTACTCACAAGAAAACACATTTTTCAAACCAATGCTTTTATTGATTTAATACAAAACACGAATTCCT